GTGGAAAACCAACCAGTCCGACCCGTACCTAAACCGACCGTTCTGACACTACACTAAGTGGCACTAGTGGAAAAGGGAAATACATGTCTTTGAGTCGTAACTAAATTTGTGCATAATAATGAGACTAATCGTGATTAATCTTCAACATATATTTAGATTAATCACAATTTAAATTTACATTTTTTTACAATTTATTTAATGTGCAGCATATTGGCCAACTGTAGTTGTTATTAAATGTGCTAAATAATATAAACTTTATATTAATTAACTGATGATGCTGATTGTGATAATCATGAATTTAGCAATGAGTTGTTTTGTTTTGGTATATTTGGTCTTCGTTATTTAATTCTGCTCTTTAAATTTAAAGCCCAAATTTAAATTTGTGAATTTACTGACTTCTTGACTTGATTAAATGTTATGATTGATTTGCTCAGGCTGCCAAGATTCCAGAATTCAGAGGACTCAGTTTTGCTTGGAAACAGGTGAGTTCCACACATCTTCTTCAGTAGAGTAAGAACAGATKAATTATATGAAGAACTAACAGGTTGTTTCATTGCTGCAGGAGAAGACTGGAAACCCAATATCACTGTGTCTAGAAATACTTCTCTTGTTGTGAGCTTCAGTCCTCACATCCTGTCTAAGAAGTACACAGTCATTGTTTCATGTGGCGATGACCAAAACACTGCTGCGGTTTTTTTAAAGGTGAGATTGTGTCATCCTGAATGTTTCATTATGGGAAAAGTGCAGAATTTTTGTTTTTTGTTGGATATTTCCAATAGCTGCATGTCACTTAAAGTTGTGTTCTTTATTCTAATTCGTAGCCTGAACGGGATACGGCACTGTTTTATGCTATCTTTTGTAACTAAGGAAGTAAAATTAGAACYAATAAACACAATGTGCTTTTGTGTTATTGCTGAGAGTAACAACATCTTAAGTCATAAAATGGGGGAGCAAAAAAGTTTTCTCCTCCGCCTAAAAAAAAAAGCTGTTCCACCTGCTTTACTGAGCAGCACCAAACATTAAAACCATTTCTACTGTCAGTGGGTTGACACAGATAACACAAGTAGCTTCTCATAAACATCCTGTCAAGTTTTCACCCCAGCTTTACTTTCCATGACAGGAAACTGTTGTTTTGACTTTGAAAATGATGTTTTGATGATTACAGAAATAGCTGCTTGTTACACTTTGAACCTATGTAGTCTCTAGCTGCGTTTCCACTGCAAATGTGCGCAAAACTTTGTCGACATTCTGTTAATGTCGAAAAAACACAGTTTCATAACTGCTATGTTTCCATTAAGTAAGAAATGCTATTAAAGTCACGCTTGAATACGTTTGCTGTCACGATAAGTCATTACAAACATGGCGGCGATGGATGTAAACACATAGCATGTTGCTACTGCAACACTAGCGCTCATCATCATAGGAGACGTTGGCGTCTTTTATCGAGGCTTTCCAGCGACAAGTCCCTACTTGGGAGCGGCTATGTATTTTGTGTTTTTGGGAAATTGTAGTTGGTGAGTTTACTCCTTTCATTTACTACGTCTGTGATATTACTGCTACTTCTACTTCCTGTTATCTTCTCCGTCGTTGTCTTTTTCGCCAATAGAAACAGCCGGTTGTTGATCACGCGACTCCCGTGATGCGAAAAAAGTGTTTCCATTGCAGTTTTGCGAAAAACACCAAWTTCGATATGGCCRAAAAWCCACCTCATCATAACGCAAAACCATTTTATCGAAAAACGTAATTTATTTCAAAATTGAAGTGTCTCCATTGAGCAAGTTTATTTTCGAAATTCTAATTTGCACATTTTCGTGGTCAATGGAAACGCAGCTACTGTTAACAGTTCACTTTAGTGCAAAGTGTAATGGAGAGACGCATGGAGAGACCCTCTGCATAAGAGCAATGAAGGCTGGAGTCTACCATACCAGACAGGACCCAAGATTCAAGCTGTGCAAAGTTGCCCCTGATATTAGTGTACACCACTGGTTCCCAACCCTGGTCCTCAAGGACTCCTGCTCTGCATGTTTTAGATGTTTCCCTGATTTGACACACCTGGTTTGAATGAATGAGTGATKAMCAATCTTCTTAAGACCTGCTGAATAGCAGTGAAATGAGTAAAACGTGAAGGATAGGGCTCCTCAAGGAGCAGGGTTGGGAACCACTGGTGTACAGGAGTATCTATATCRTATGTGGACTGGAGGTCCAACAGTCAAATTGGTTGACTCCACCGAGGGAGGTGGAGAATGGCGGTCTAAGATACTGTTCGACTTGCAGATCCAGATTGACAAACGAGTGATGGCTGACCAGACACTGTAGTAGTTGAAAAATGACAGAAGGAGGCAGAGGTGATGATGTAGATACAATTGATACTCTATAAATCTGTTGCATTATTTCTTCACCTTTACACACCGTGCATCAGTATTAACTGAGTACAAATCAAACCTTTTCTCCAGATGGATCAGATGAGCCTGAATACCATGTTTGACCTTGATTTATGGCCAAAATCCTGCTGCATCTTTGATGTTGTGGTAAATATCACTAGTTTGTTATTCTGAGAYGCAGTAGTATCAGTTATCAGTGGATTCATCATGATCACATCTACGTCYGAGTGTCTTTGCTGAATTTTTCTGTTTCACAGATCAAACCTTTTTTCCCAAAATGTGACAATGACTGTACCCGTCGAAAGACGACAACATATATTTGTACAAAAGGTAAGAAGCATACCGTATGTGTTGTGTTAAAGTYAATGTATCTGAATACTCTTGACTGATTTGGGAGCAAAGATTATTAACTCCCATCGTACTTGAATTATCTTCTAAAGAATTTTAATATTAACAACCATAGACAACTAAAACAAATGTCTTTGGAAATTTAATAGACTTGAGTTTTTGCTCTGAGGACACACGGCTCCTAATCAATAAACCGTCTTCTCTTTTCAGCAGAAAACCCTCRTCAGGATTTTTCTCCTTACATATTTGTTGCCATGGGAATCGTGTCCATGTTCATTTTATTGGCAGTTGTTTTGTATTTTCTCTGCCGCAAGAAAGGTAAGGAGTTTTTCTGTTTCATCGCTTTAAAGTTATAACTACAAACATTTTCAGGTTTAGAGAAAAAATATGATTTTTAACTTTTCCTTGAAGAACAGCCCTGATACTGTAGATTTTCTTTTCCACTTTCAGGCAAACCTTTTATCACTCCTTCACCTGAGGAACCACCACAGCTGCCAGAATCACCTCCAAAAGTCCTGGTCATCTACTCCCAGGACCACCACCTGTACAGGGACGTAGTGCTCAAGTTGTGTGCTTTCCTCCAGGCCAAATGTGGCACCAGGGTGCTGGTGGATCTGCTGGACACCACCTCGGTCAGCATGGTGGGTCGTGTTCGCTGGCTCGAATGGCAGCGACAACAGTTGAAAAACCCCTGCGACAAAATCCTGGTGTTGTGCTCCCGTGGCGTTCAGGCAAAGTGGAGGGCCATGTGTGGCCAGGGGCCGGTGCTGCTCAGGGAAGATGTTTTGTCTCCCACAGACGACATGCTCACCCCGTTTCTTAATCTGTTCCTGCCAGACATGCACAAGGCTGGGAGGCTGGGTAAATACATGGTGGCTTACTTTGAAGACATCAGCAGTGAAGAAGACGTGCCTTCTGTTTTTGACATTGGAGTCAGATACACCTTGATGAAGCACTTTGAGGAACTGTACTTTCGCATCTTAGACATCGAGAAGTATCAGCCAGGACAGGTCAACCACATTGAGGGAATTAGTGGGGACGAATACGTCAACTGYCCCTCGGGTAGAGCCCTGCAGAATGCCATCACAACCTTTCAGGCCTACCAGTTAGAAAATCCTAACTGGTTTGAGAAGGAGTGTGTGCTCAGTGAGGAGGAGGTCATYACAGAAGCCAACAAGCTCACTGTGCCCCTGCAGACCCCTCCTGTCTATGAGTGTGTTGTCCCAGTCAGCGAGGGTCCTTCTGTCTACATTCACAATGTGGATCTGAATGAAAACTGCCACAGTGGTCACATTCTTATCCCTGATCTGATACCAGAGAACCATACGTCATCAGTGGCAGAACTTCTCCCGATCCTAAATCCTGAGTGGGAACATCACTACTTATCAAGCCAGGTGGAAGTTTTGACCAATCCCAGCTCCCGTCTACAGTCTGTCTGCATAGCTGAGCYTGTTTTAAATAACCAACCACCGGTGCAGCGGAACTACCTGTTCCTTAATGAGAACCACTTGCCTGAAATGCCCACTGAGGATGATGAAGAGGAGTCTTTACTGCCTATAAACAAAGCCTGCTCAGTTCTGCAGCATTCTGTGGACTCGGGTCCTCCAGACTCTTCACACTCTTTGATCCAGAGTCATCATTTACCATCAGCTGAAGTCATCCTCTCCCAGCCTGTGGAGGTGCAGGAGGAGCTGAGTGAGAAGCGCTCCAGCAGTGGATCTGATCAAGGCTACATCTCAAAGACATCTTTTGAGGTTGAAGCCTCTGCTAAAGAGGACCTACTGAGGGATTTGGTAAGACTGCAGGAGGAGTGTTATCAGTATAGCATGAAGGAGCACTTTCCTGACGATGAAGACATCATGACCTGAGGTCTAGTTTCCTAACAGAACTCAAGTATTTCCTTTAAAGTAACTTTTGGTGTAAATATTATCAGTTTCCTCAGTGGAAGGTAGGCCCCTCCCACCAGGCACATCATTTCCTGATTTTGCCCCAATGAACAACTTCATGTTTCTTTCTAATAAATTGCATTGGTTTCAACACAAAAAAAATAAATACAAAGTTAACATTTCAGTTTGCTTTCTCCCAATTTTTACAACAACGACGACGACGACGACGACGACGACAACGACAACGACAACGACAACAACAACAACAACAACATTCCACCTGCTTCTTCCATGCAATTAGAGAAGTAACTGTCTGACAGCAACAACTGTAACAAGTAGAATGTGTTTAAAATGTGTTTATCCTGAACTGAACACCCAGGTGTCCTTGGTTGTTTTAAGCTGATGAGGGGAAAAGGACACAATGAGTTTACTGACCAGTGGATTCATCATAATCGCATCTACGAGTGTCTTTGCTGTGGTCTAAATCAAAGTCTGCTGAAAAAGTAAAGGAGCACGGAACGAACTCTGGTGCGGATCTCTTCAGTTCTCTTCTGGTGTGAATACAGACCAAACTCTAACCGAACCAACTGCATTAAACATGCACCTTTTTGGACTTCACAGGCCACCGTTGCTGAGCTAAATAAACTGAAAACATACCTGTTTCGTCGTCTCCTGTTAGCAGCTCTGCTGGCAGCATGTTGTGGATCAGAACACGCAGCGCACTGCGTCTCCTTTGGGTTGCGGGACATATTTACTGACGCCGCTCCAAAATTAGAATATCATCATGAAACCACCATTAAATTAGCTGCTTCTGACATTTTAAATGCTATTGCAGTTGTACTATCAGCAAAAATGTGCGCATCAGAACCGCAGCATGCAGGACTTCCTTGTTTTCTTCTGGGTCTGTGGCTCAGTCCCGCCCCCGTCCTTTCTGTCCAGTGGGAGCAATGACCGTCAGCCTCATGGCTTTGTTTACAAGTTATAGTTTGTTTGCAAAAAAGCACAATGAGAATGCAAACCRCACCAAACGAARAAAATAAAGTCCACTTTTGGTCYGGACCAAACAAGCGGACCAAAGGACTTTCCTGGTCTGAATACACCCAAAGGTTCAKGAGGAAGTGAATCATTGGCTGGATTCGTGGTGTGTTTTCATGGCAAATGTGCAAAATATAACAAACCAGTGAAGGACTTATTGTGAGACACAGAGGCAAACAAATGTATGTGTTTGTCGTGCAGTTTATAAGCCTGGGCCAGACAGTGGGGGTCATGAACCCACAAAGAACCTTTGCACACACGAACCCACAAAGAACCTTTGCTCACGCGCACACACACACGGACCCACACAGAACTGCGTGCAGCTTGGTTCATCATTAAAAAGAAAGCAATAGTAGTGCGAGACACATCCCAGAGCAGAGTTTCACTTGTTGCACAGGTGATGATTTTCATAAAAAACACAACCGGATGGTGACGATGTCCTGTCCTCAGGAGGAAGGGCGGCACGAAGCATTAGATGAAACTGATCAACTGTATGGACTCTATTTGATAAAGGGATTATCCAAACATTTTAAAGTTCAGTGGAAAAGGTTTGAACTTTCATGTGAAAATTTAAATCAAAGACCAGGGGCTGTATTTATCAGACTTGTAGGAAATATTATTAATACTTTGAAGAATTAAGAGTAAAATATCGTCTCAAAACTGGGCCTAAAATTTAGATATCAAACATCTGATCTAAAGTAAATCGGAAGAGTCTCTCAGAGGGGATTTTGTTGATCCTGTATTTAGAAAAACACACACAAGCAGTCACACAGAATATATTTTAAATACATGATCATATTCAAAATTATTCTGAGAGAAATGTCAAGATAAGATTGTGAAAATCTTAAGTTGAAATTCAGCTATTGTATTTATTGGTTTTAAGAATGTGTGAAATAATCTAGTAGCCTATATTTTATTTTTTGAAAATAAGGGGCAGAGAATAAAATTAGACTTTTCTTTCTGCTTTCTGTCTTTTTTATTTGTGATTTTTTTTTGTGTGTGTATAGA